CAGAATGCATTTGCAGAAAGTCTCCAAGGGAACCAACAACACAGCAAGGATTAGAACTAAGGATTTCCTGTCCTATCTGCAAACCACACCTCTCTCCTGTTTACAATGTGAACTTATTCCCAAGCAGAAAAGCCATGTGAATGGAACAATTAATTCTGCTATTTCAGCCTCCCTTCCTTCCCCTCTCAGTTCATTCCTGGCATTACCTTCAGGTCCTTGCGAATCTGGTACCAGAAGAACTGTGGGACAAAGCAAAGCAAGAAAAGAACATTTCAGAACAAATGTTTCAGCTGCAAATACTTGAATTTTGATTTATATACTTGTTTGCTTAAATAAGTTTGAAACACTTTAGAAATACCCTCAAAATATGGTGCTCTTGTTAATGAAAAATGAAACCAAAAGGTAAATTAATTCCTAAACCAAGGAGTAAGTTAATGAATGACTAATCATAGTAGTTACCTGCACATGTCATCTTTTGTACACATGACTTGAGCAACATTAGAGTGATAGTGTTACTACTCAGGGTAAGTTACTATCAATGGATTTAAAGAGATAATGCCTTTGATTTCCTTTTTTTTTTTTAAATCACATTTTCACATTTCCTGGAATCAAGAGCTAAAAGCTCCTGGAAAAATATAATCTGAAATTTTCTCAATTCCAGAACCATTGGATGGTTGATAGGTTGGGTTTTCTGGGAACTGCGTCTCTAAAATATTCCTGGCAGCTGCAAAACAAACTGAAAGATATGTATTATCCTCTTCCACTTTTTATCATTGATAAGACTTAAGCTAAACTGCCCAGTAACTGATCAGATATTTTATGCCCAGGGCATGGACATAGATGGTCATTAAGGTCTCCTCCATCCCAAAGCATGCCATGATTTCCCCAACAGTACAGATGCTCAGGCATGTAAGAAACTTTAATTTCAACACTTCCCTTTCCAAAAATAAAATCCAGTGACTTTGAAATTGCTCCAGTGATATAGAGCACAAGAAATATCTTTACAGTGTTCAGGTTTAGGACACAGTGTGGTAGGAACTGGAAATGCTTAAACTTTTTGTTACACTTTGGTTTTAGCCAAAAAATTGTGGCCACCGGCAGTTGGGGGTTTGCAGATGGAACTTGTTTAAGGTGAAATCAGGTCGAGTAAAGCCAGAAAAAGCAAATGAAATTCTGTGTGCCCATAGAAGAGGCCCTGGGCTGGCAGCTGGCACACAGACAGCAGTAGGTGAGGAGAGTGGATGGGTTGGGACTTGTCCCACAGGTAATTTTCCCTGAGACTCATTGCAGAACCAGGGTCTGCCTGACATTTCCTTCAGCTTTCCTGCAGCAGCACCAAGATGTGGCTCAGTGCTGGTTTGATAATAGCTGTTTATGTGAAATCAAGAGTGGGAATTGGGGGGCGAACGTCAGTAAACATTTTCTAGGAGTTTAGGCTCTTATCCTCCGAAATCCTCTGCAAAAACACAATGGAAACCTCTCTGAGAGACACTTGAAGCTGACCAGAATGAAGTACAGAGAGCAGGGAATTGCACTGCCCTGATGTTAACCTGCACACGGACTCAGATGGCTCAGCTATTACTAAATCTCAATGATAATTCTGGTGATAATTGCTCCCTTTATTTCTAAACTGAATTGTTGTAATTCATTATAGTCTTGTCTAACAGGTCAAATTACTGGAAAACTAAAGCAGATACAAAATGAGTTGTTGATAGTGCTCCTTTTTGGAGCCTCAGTTGTTTGATCAGTCATTTTACATTATTATATATTTTTATTGATTACTGATCATGTGTTACACTTTGATTTTTAGGTTGTTCTAACTTCCACAGCTCCTGGATTAAGCTGCTGTGAACCAACTGCTCTTTATGTAGTTTTCTGACAAATATCACAGCAAATAGATCCAGAAATGCTGTTTTTTGAGTCCTTGTTCCTGTAAGTTCCTCCCACTTCCCAGAGGTCATCTTCAGTCTCAGCTGAAGGAGTTTTTGTGTAGAGTAAGAATTAGTCACTAAAGCATGATCGGAGTAGATAAATGCCCATTAAAGCTTTGTGCTGTTGGAGGCTGTGTATAAATTTAACACCATACAGTTACAATCTCCCCAGAGCACCTCAACAAATGCTCGAGCTCCAGAAAAATCCAAGTATGTGCTCACAAGCTTTGAATCAGGGCTATGGAACACACACTGCCTAATTTGCACCTACCATTCATAGCGTGAACCTCTGAACTAGCAAGCAAGTGAACACCCAGGCAAAGGTTGTGGCTCCCAAGATGTCTCACTAATTGCTGTGGCTGTAATTTAATGTTATTTATTTATTACACTCCTATTTTCTGTAGCTGTTGGTTCACAACAAAAACCTGAAATGTTTGAGTTACAATCCATCCTCCTAGCACCATGACATTAAATATTTTCTAAGAGAAATTTTTATTTTAATTATAAGCTTTCTACTAAAGCTTCATTAATTTCTATTACAGAGCTAATTGCAGGTCTCTTTGCCTTATTTAATTTTTTTTTAGCAACAAAAGTTCTTGAACCAATGCTTATTCTGCTATGAGTACAAATTTTTCAGTAATTATACAAAACACAATGGATGAATTGGACTAGATTTGCAAATTTTCCTGCTAAACAGTTGCAGGACAATTCTGCTTAGGTTGAAAAGAGTATGTTTAAAGAATTAATTTAATTTATTAATTAAATTCAGAATTTAAAGAATTCTGAAAAGAGAGGAATGCCAGCTTTCATGCTGAATTTGGTATCAAATTAACACAGCAACAAATTTGTAGAATTGAGTGAATTTGCTCTTGAGCTATGGGAAATGCGGACTGGGATGCTTGGGACCAGGGAGTTTGTCTTCGTTGTGATTGTTTCCAAACTTGCAGTGTTTTTGGTTTTAGGTTTTTGGGTTGCTCTTGAAACAACCCAAGCAAAACACTTGGTTACAGAGATTTCCAAACCTGGGTAGGTTGCAATTCTTTAGAATATCCCATATATGCTGAACTTTCTTTCAAGTGTTATTGTTTCCAAGATTGATTTATTTGCCTGTGCAATTTTTTTTAATCAGGGATGCAGAGACAAATCAGAATTCCAAAATAACTTGTAATTTGGGCCAGTTGTTGGTTTCTGGTGGCAGTCTGTCTTTTTGTGTTCATTTGGGGTATTTAGTTCCTACAGCTCTGTTTCATGCTGGACTTGACAAGCAATTCAATGGTCTTTTCATTTATAAAAGCATCCTCTTAGGTGTTTAGAGATGGAAATGCAGAAATCGGTGTATGGGATGGTTTTGGAGGCTTGTTCCAAGTCACATTTCAAGTTTGTGGCAGCGCTTGGTTTGCAGGATGAGCTTATGAATCTCCAAGTGAAATCTGGATTAGCAAGATCTACCCAGCCCAAGAAGAAAATGTTTGCACAAACATCTTTTAAGGGAAACTGATGACTTTCACAAGATCTTAAATAGATTGTACTGAATTAATTATCCCAGTCCTGTAGTTAACTACAGATGAGACAGTAACTGGGACCCAGCAAGCTAAAAAGGAGCCTCCATCCTTCCCAAGCCAGCAGGAGCTGAGCCAAGCTGGGCTCGGCTGAAAGCCTTTCTTTGTGGATCTTGCTGGCTGTCAGTGTGAAAGGTGGATGGAGGCTAAAAATGGCTCAGGAGCATGGCTGGTGTATGCAGGGAATAGCAATGAGAACAGAGTGAAATCAGAGACCGAGCCCTGGACATTGTGGAAAGCATCCAAGGGGGTGGAAAATGCGCAAGCAAACAGGTTATGTGTGCCTGCTGCACGGGCAAATGGCAGGAGGGAGCAAAGGGAAGAGAGGGGGAAAACACCAAAACCAAAGGACAAGCGAAAGGGAGATGATCCGAGAAACTCAAAGAGAAGGAAATCAGAAGCCTGAAAATAATCTTTCCAGAAAAGATGAAGCATCTCAGAATGAGAAGTCCTGGAATAAAGCACAGTTTGCATTTTTTGCTTGCTTTAAATTCTTCCCTGAAGGATTACAGACAACCAAGATGCACAACCTGAGGGATTATCAGCGAAACGTTCTTCACCCTGTAGGGAACGGGCACGGCCCAAGGCTGCCAGAGCTCCAGGAGCGTTTGAACAACGCTCCCAGGGATGCAGAGAGTGGGATTTTGTGGTATCTCTGCAGGGCCAGGAGCTGAATCGATGATCCTGGAGGGTCCTTCCCAACCAACTCAGGATATTCGGCTTCACGAAGGGCGAGCCTGCGGGAGAGGGGTCAAGGAAGGAAGATGCTCCTGCAGGGAAGTCCGGGGGGCGGTGGTGGCGGATACCGCAGCATGAGGGGCTAAGAGCGGGCGATGGCGGTAACACCTCCATGAGGGAGGGCAGGGGCCGCGCTGAGGGGCGGCAGTCCGTCCATGAAGGCTGAGGGGCGGTAACACCTCCATGAGGGAGGGCAGGGGCCGAGCTGAGGGGCGGCAGTCCCTCCGTGAAGGCTGAGGGGCGGTAACACCTCCATGAGGGAGGGCAGGGGCCGCGCTGAGGGGCGGCAGTCCCTCCATGAAGGCGGCCCACCGCTGCCAGGCTGAGGGGCGGTAACACCTCCATGAAGGAGGGCAGGGGCCGCGCTGAGGGGCGACAGTCCCTCCGTGAAGGCTGAGGGGCGGTAACGCCTCCATGAGGGCGGGAAGGGACCGAGCTGAGTGAGGGTCGGTAGCCCCGCCATGAGGGACACAGCCTCACCATGGGGGTGACTGATGCCGCGCTGAAGGGCGAGCGGAGCTGTGCTGAGGGCGGCCGATCGCTGCCGAGCTGAAGGAGCAGCACCCCCGCCATGAGGGCTGCCAGGAGCCAGGCGGGGACATGGCGGCACCGCCCGCCCTCCTGAGGGCGGCTCGCTCCCGCCCCGCCTGACGTCACCCCCAGCTCTGCCGGCGCCATTTTGGACGCTGATCGCCGGGGGGGCCGGAGCGGGGCCGCCCCAGCCCCGCCGCGGCCGCCGCCGCCTCCTCCTCCTCCTCCTCCTCCTCCTCCTCCTCCTCCTCCTCCTCCTCCTCCTCCATCCGCCGCCATCGCCGCCCGCCGCCGCCGCCCGCCCCGCGCCGCCCGCCCCGCCCGCGCCGCCCGCTCCGCCCGACCCGCCGCGGCCGCTATCGCCAGCACAACATGGCAGGTAAGGGCAGCCTGCCCCCCTGCCCCGGCGTGGCTCGGGGGGCTCTCCCCGGGCCGCCTCTCCTGTTCCGACTCGCTTGCGCCTTGCTGGTTATGCCGTGGTTTTTCTTTTTCTTTTTTTTTTTTTTTTTAAATTATCTCCTGTGGGAATTCGTGCTTTGCTCCCACCCACCCCTCCTTCCCTCCGTTCTCCGGGAAAAAAAAAAAAAATGGAAGAAGCAAGGTGGAGCGGGGAGTGGTGTGTTTTGGAGTTGAGCTTGCAGGCAGGGTGGGTCTGCTGCCTTTTCGTAGAATCATGGAATGATTTGGGTGGGAAGGGACCTTAAAACCTGTCCAGTTCCACACCCTGGCATGGGCAGGGACACCTTCTGCTAGCCCAGGTTGTTCTGAGCCTCGTCCAGCCTGGCCTTAGACAATTCCAGGGATCCAGGGACAGCCACAGCTGCTCTGGGTAACCTGTGCCAGGGCCTCCCCACCCTCAGAGGGAAGAATTACTTCGCAATATCCCAGCTCAACCTACTCTTTCAGTTTGAACCCATTCCCCCTTGTCCTGTCACCACATGCTCTGGTAAAGAGTTTCCCCCTTGAGGCTTTAGGGTCGGTGCTTGTAGTTATTTCTCTGCCGTGTACAGAGAGGTTCCAGGTGCAGGCGGTGTCCAGGTTGCAGTCGCACCCTTCTGTAGGGAGCAGCCTCTGAGCATCTGCAAATGCCACTGAAATTTGGCACAGGGCGTAATTAAACAGCACAGGTCTCCCCGTGTTTTCTTTCCCATTCCTTCCTCTGCTTACTTCCCATTTCCCATCCCCAAGTGCTGTTGGTAGGCTTGGGAATGTGTGTGCAGAAAGGATCTCTTCCCTCTTACTTTTCCTTGCAATTTCTTCATTTGGAAATGTATTCATCCCCCTCCTCTGCACGTGAATTGTCTTTTCAATGCTTTGCATGTGGAGGAGCAAAGCATGGGAGGCTTTGTGAGGCATGTGCTTTGCCTTTCCCCCCTACACCATATGCACATGCTCCACCCTCCTCTTGCCGTTTTAGTCGTGGGGGGAAAAAAGTGCCAACTTGGTTCAAGTGAATTGTATGGAAAAGAGCTCGAAGAAGCAGGAGCAGTGATTCTCTCCGAGCTGTTCCTTTAAGTGCTGCTATGATGCTAGCCGCTAAATGACAAATGAAGAAGTTGAAGAGAAGAAAATGGGTTGTAGGATTTTGGGGGAATGATGGGGGGAGGGAAAGCATTTTGCCATCTCCTGCATAGATGGGTTCTGTTGCTTGCCTTCACCTCCTCAGGTTGTACGTCTTGGATGTCTGTAATCCTTCAGGGAAGAATTTAAAGCAAGCAAAAAATGCAAAGTGTACTTTTTATTCCAGGACTTCTCATTCTGAGATGCTTCATCTTTTCTGGAAAGATTATTTTCAGGCTTCTGATTTCCTTCTCTTTGAGTTTTTTTGCTACCCTGACTTGGGAAGAGTCTCCTCCTGTATTCTTTGTTATCTCCAAAGCCCTACCAGAGCTCGGGATTAATGTGTAAATGCCATCTGTTGCTCAGCCGGTTTGAGTTGTGTGGAGGAAAAGTTCCATTTTGACAGTGGCTTTTGGGAAAAAAAAAAAAAAAAAGAAAAAAAAAAACAACCAACCAAGGCAAGCCCATTTCTGGCTCTTCCTGTATGTCCTCAGCCCTGCAGTGATTTGCTCAGAATGAAATGCAAAAGAAATGGGTGGTGATTTTTGGTGTGTGTTTTTGTGGCACGGTTCAAATGAATCACTGCCTTCAGCCGAGGCAGTAATGTTCCTGAAGTTTTCTCTCCGATCCGTTTTCTATGGTAGTAGAATTTGTCCCCCTCTCCGATTGCTTGTTTGCTTTTCTGCTCGGATTTGCTGCTTTTTTTTTTTTTTTTAAGGCTGATAATTGCTTTCATTACTTCTGCGAAGAGACTCTAAAATTGTGGTAAAATTCTTTTTCTTTAGCCTTGAGTGCTTAAGGTCGGTGCAGTAGGTTTGTGGAAGGAGGAAATGAATTGTGTGCTTGGTTTGCATTGGATGGGAGATTGAAATTTTCTAAAAAAGCACAGCTCTGATAGTTGATATTTAAGCTGTTTGTGTGTGTGTGTTTAGGGGGGTTCTGACTGCTCAAGCAGGAAAAAGCTTTGTGTGAAACACACTTGAATTTTAAATTCGTAGTTGATGGTGCTTAGTCCAGCGAGCTTTGAGTGAGTGAAGCTTTTACACTGGTTGTGCTTCCCTGTTTTTGACAAACACTGCATTGAAGGCTGACAAAAACAATATCCAAAGGAAAAAGGTGGGGAGGGTGGTGTGTGATTGTGCCTCAGCACTGCTGAGGAAGTGGGCGTGCACAGGCTCTGAAATGTGCAATCTGGAACCATTGTGTGCTTGTGCTGCTGCTCTTGGGGGGGCTCGTTTTTATTGAATTGTTTTCATTTTTCAGGAGCTGGAGGAGGAAATGACATTCAGTGGTGTTTTTCTCAGGTGAAAGGCGCTGTAGATGATGATGTAGCAGAAGGTAAGAGTAATACTTGTTACTGTTTTCTAACTTTTTAACCATTCCTTAGGTAGGGAGATGTGAATGCAGTCAGTAAAATATCCCAGTGCTGGTAAGTGCTTGTTGAGCAAAGCAAATGGACATTTCATATGTATTCCCATATCCAGATTCAGGTTTAAACTGTGATTTGAAAGTACCATTCAGCACTCTTGTAAAAAAGTTCAGGCTTCCTAACTTATTTTTGCTGGAATTGTTTTCTAAGATTCCTAAGATTTTTCTGATTTTTTTGCTTTTGACTTTTGTTTTTTCTTAATCTACAAAATGGGGAATGTGATACTTAAATTCCACAAGGAGGTGTTGTTAGAATTAATATTTGTACTCTTTGAAGATCTAAGTACTGTACGAAGGAATTGTCCCAACATTTCTAGCTCCTATTAACAAGAGGCAGAAGAAATCTGCATATTTGTGCATGCCTACTTAGTATATAAGGAGCAGGTTTGGGTTTGAAATAATGTTGGAAATTGTCTGAAACTTTCCAAGCTGCCAGTGACAAGTGTCATGTTACACTAAGATGGCTGCCTCTGAATTTCACTGCAAAAACTATACTGTTTGGGCTTTTTTCCCTTGGATTTCGGATCACTGGAGGAATGGTGCTTTTTTCTGTGCTGGAGAGCAGAATCTCTTCTGTGATCATTCTCAAGGAGAGATCCCCTGACTTCTGAATTTCTTCGGCCATAAAGTCCTGTTTGCAACAAAGCAGCTTTTAAGATCATGAGTTAAAAGTTTTCTTTTGCAAGTAGTTGGCCTTGTCACTTATGTATTTCCTGGGTTTTTTTCTTTTTTTTGCATATATTGAATGCTCTGACATAGAAGTGAGATTAATGTTATATTTAGAAAAGCAGTAACTACAGTTTCCATTATTTCTCTCTGCTTGACATGTGGTTCAGATTTGCTTCCAAAGGCCAAAAGAAAAGATTGGTATAAACAAAACTGAGTTGTTTTTATTTATTAGCTGCAGCATGTGGCAAACCATGCACTGAGGCTTCTGTTGTTTGCAAGTTGAAATATTTTTTTTGAAAATGAGAAAGCTGTACAGTTTCAAGTTTATTTTTCAGTTCTTCAGGAAGTAGATTTTAAAGCTTGAACTCAAAGTGCTGTTAAATGTGGTATATTTTTTTTCCCTGACAGATTTAAAATTTTGTAACCTTTGTTTTATTTATGTATCATACTAAATCCTTAATAAATACAAGTATTGAAGAAGTTGTGGTTGTGGTGAAGTTGTGGTGCTTGCAAATAATTCTTCATTAAAATAGACATGGATATGCTTCTAGTAGTAATAAACTTATATATAGGTATAGAAAAGTGATCTTTACAGGGATCTGGAAATGCAGAAGTGAGGAAATAGGAAGGAAGGACAGGCTGAGCTGTTTTAAGTGTTGCACTTGGTGTTATGAAAGGTGCCTTGCCAGCCTTGTGCCTCCTGCCAGGCTGGGAGCTGCCCTGAGCATTGCTGGAATCCCGGGGTGGACTTCTGGGAAGCCTTTGAGGGAACTCACCAGCTTCAGTTTCAGCAAGCCAGGCAGCTTGGTTCCTAAAGCATTGTAAGAATCTCCATTTTTTGGGTTATAGACAGTGTAGCCTTCTGATTCTGTGACCCAAAGAGTGAAAAGAAATTTTCTTTCGTTGTCAGCTATACCTGACTTAGAATGAATCTTGAGGTCCAAAGTGTATTATAGTGCAAGATGGTGTGAAACTGAACTGCCTAGGGAGAGATCCCAAGTATTATTGATGTTATGCTTGGTTGTAATTAGTGTGTTGAACTGAAATTCTCTCCTATTCCCATGTATTTGGCTCCCACAGTCCGTGCTGGAAGTTGGTGAAAGCAGTTGTTTATATTGATTTGTTGTACATCATAATGTCTCACTGTAATTCTGTTGGAAGCGTTATGTATCAGGATGGTTGCATTTGTCCATTTCCTAGTGATATTTGTGGCTTTAAGGTTCATATCAGTGCCCTGGAGCCTTGTGTGGCTCTTGCACCAACTGGAGCAGCAGCTTCTGGTCTTTTGGAATACCCAGTGACAAATTGGGTCCAAGTGCAGTCTGAGGACCTTTTTAGTTCCCTGCCTTTCCTTCTGCTTTCTTGGGGCAGGCCAACTGTGAAAGCTCAAGGAGATCTTACTGTCTCAAGCTTTAATGACTCTTTAACCACTCTGATCTGCCAGAGAGCAGCTCTGGACTCCAGTCATGCCTGTGGTCAGCACAGTACCAATTTGTGTACAGGAGTACAAGGCTGTGAAGATCTGATTTTTGAATGTCTGCAGAGTTCAAAATCTAACAGCAGTTTGTTGTGGAATGCTGAAATTCACTGAAAACAAATGTGAAAGAATTGGGAGTTTTACTTTCTGTTTTCCTCCTGTTGGTAACTTAGTGTTGCAATATTTACATTGGAAAGTGGTCTTGAACTAAGGTAAAGCAGTGGTAACTAGGAAAACCACATCATTAAATTGCATTAATCAATGGGATACAAACCCAGTGATCTTCCTGCAGTGTTTTTGTCTATAAAACAGGACCATGGAGAATAACATTTTGGACAGTAACACTTTTTATACAGTAACAGTTGTAACAACTTTAAAAAGCCTGTCAAGAGTGCTATTATGTAGCTTCCAGCATATTTAAGGTCAGATGTGACCTCCAGTCTTCCCATCATGTGTATAACCTGTAATTCTTTAGATACTTGGACTATGCTACCTGATTGTTGCAAAGTCGATATTTGGTGGCTGAAACATGAACTCTGATATTCAGTTTTTAATTTTCTGGCTTTCCAACCACTATGTGATGGATGGATGTGACATGTAAGGAGAAGGGAGGGAAATTGTGTCACTAAAGCTTGGGGAAAGATGGCACTGAACTTGTATGTGGGGCCTGCCTGGGTCACTGCTGTGGCAAAGCTTTTCTACTGAAAATGTGAACGTGAGGAGCAGAAGTAGCCTCTCTTCCATTGGTATGTATGGAATTTACCCTTGCTTGTAAGTTGTGGCCTGGCCGTGTCAGATCGCAGTTAAGCATAGAAATCAGGGTATAAATTGAAATCTCAGTGTCAGCTTCGTTATAAATCGGGGCCTGAATTTTAATTGATGGCAGAAGTTTGCTTTCTAGTGATTTATCAGTCTGTTATATGAAGGCAAAGGTTGTTGTAGTTTGTGCTTCCCCTCTTTCTAAAATAGCTTTTCTCCCTACTTAGTTTCATATTTTCATAGTTTCATAGACAGGTCTTCTGGAGTGAAAAATAGAGTGCTTGTTTTTGATAAGTTCAGTGATTAGGTTATCAAAAGTGTCTGTAATGCACAGTTTTCTTTCTTTTGTGCCATCATAGTTTTGCTACAAGTGAGACTTAATTGTCCAGAAATACTCTTAGTTTTGTTAGTGGAAGTTTTCTTTATGGGAATGATTATAGAAAAAGATGACAAAGATTTTCAGCAGCAGTTTTGTTGGTTATACTCTTTTTGCTGTTCTTTAGAATGTGGCATAATAGCAACTGCAGTTGGGAGCAGCTAAGAGTTGTGAGTTTAAACTGCCTCTAAAAACTACACACTGGCTTAATGGAGTGAGTTTGTACTTCAGAACAAATTTAGTCAATTTGTTTAAGTGCTCAGAGAAGGAGAAGAGTCAAGCAGCTCTATCTCAGTGTTCTTTCAGGTGTAATTCAAAGATATGTAAAAGTTGGATAGTCCAGGTCCAGTGCTGGGAGCCAGGAATTTATATCATAAGCTTTAACCCTGAGAGATTACTGCTCATCTTGGACAAGTTGTTTAATTGTTTTATGCCCATATTGTCTCTGAAAGAAGCATCTGAATATCTGCTATAGTTGATAATTACTGACTTTATTTATGCTTAATAATATAATGCTTAACCATTCTGTGATGCTTTGTTAATTACCTGTGATTTGCTTCATGTGACCTCTTAGAGCCAAACATGTCTGTCTCTGTTTTAGACTGAAAATGATGAGCAGATAAAATTCTGTCCTCAGCTTGTGTGTGGTAAAAGTTTGAAACAAAATCGGCCATTTCCCCAGTTCAGGAATGCTTTCTGTGGTTCTAGGTTTGTTGTGTCTGTCAAATGTAGTTTGATACTTATTTTTGACAGGTTTCAGTATTGCTAAGCAGCAATGAGGACTGATGTTGCTTCATCAAAGGTAGTTTGTCTTGAATGCATGAAAAGTGTTATTTCTGAGTAAAGAGAAGTGAAGACAGGAATAAGGATGTCTATAAAACAGTTGTTTACCACAAGCTGGGTTTTTTTGGTTGTTTTGGTTTGGGTTTGTGGTTTTTTTTTTAAATGAGGATTGATGGAATTGGAGAGGAGAAAAAACTCTCAGAGAATAAGAGTGACTGTGAAGTTGCAGTAATATTGCTGAGGAAAGATTGGAATATAGTTGTGGGAGGGAAGCTAATTTGGGCTTTTGACGACTGTGATTATGTTCTCTATGCTCATGAGGTAACATCATTTACAAGGAGCAAGAACTAGTAATAGGTAGTTTGAAATATGCTATAGATGGCAAAAAAAAGACCCAAGGTTTTAGTCCTGTTCAGTATTCCTGAGTCTGCTCCTGTATTTGAGCTCTTCAGCTCAAATACAGAATGTCTGTATCCAGAGAGAAATAGGCTACTGTGTTCTAGGAGCTGCTCTGGATGGACTAGAGTGTGCATTTAAAGTGTGCAGGCCCCCAAAACAAAGAGCATTTAGCAGACAGATAAATAGGCAGTGGCTGTTCAGCTCCCCAGAAGTAATTCAGTCCTCTTTCTTGTTTGGAAGCAGGGGCACTTCAGCTTGTCAGTCAGGGATTTTTCTGTCCCTTCTGTGAGGCATTGCTGTTCTTGGAATCTCTGTCTTAAATTAAAAATCAGTTCTAAAAAAGGCTTTTGTGTTGGAAATGCACTGCTAGAATGATCAAGCCATCAGACTCCACAGCACACATGAGTGCAGGCTAGGCTATCAGCAGCAGTCTAGATGGATTACAGCTCTGAATCAGCTTTGTGAAACTTTTTAGCTTTTCATTTTATAGGGGCTACCTAAATGCTTCTCATTTGGCTATTTCTACTGTAGGAATGGAGTCCTGTGGTAGCTGTAGCTTCACAGAATGTATTTTTAAAGAGCTAAAATGAAGACTGAAGTTCCCAGTGGATGCAGAGCTGAAGGAAGACTTAAAAGCTGGTGTTCCAAGCTGTACTGTCTGGGCTTTTTCCCCGCCTTCTTTCTGTTCTCCCTGACTTGCCTATTTAGGCCACAGCTGCATGTTTGGCAGCATTTCTCCTTAAAGAGGTACTCCTTCACGCTCTGCTGGCATGGCTGTTCACCTAAGGGGACAGGGAACTTGCTGGGGAAGCTGATCCAGCTGAAAATTGGTAAAATCGTGGTTTGTCACTGAATTATTTTTTGGCTGAATTGAAGCCTGATGTGATTCTCAGAGCTCTTCATGTGCTTATGCCAGTGTGGAGAGTGATCAAGTGGCTCAGAGGAACAGGAGGAACTGTGGAAGAAGATTGGTCTCTTTGTGGGACTTCACAAAAAGGCAGTGCAAGGCCCTGATTGATCTCTGAGTGCTGTGCTACTATGAAGAGTAACATCAGGTGCTAAAAAGGACTTTAAACTTTTGCTGTTCAAGATCTGTACTTTGAATATGTGCTATCTGCAGGCCAGCAATAAAATCACTGTTACAGGATCAGAATTATTTTGTGATGGATTTTTTTTATAGTATGTATGGAGTGGGTTTTCTGCTGTGTCCACACAAGCAGTCTGTGGAAATGGGATTTGTTCAGTGATGTTTCAAGCTCTGTTAGTAAAATGAGCTTGTTAATATCAGTGCAGTTAGTTTCTTTGAAGTTGTTGTAGGAAATAATACCAGTTGAATGGGAGGTGGGTTATTACTGATTGCTTTATTGTAAAGCACTTAAAAAGGATAATCTGACAAATGATAATCTTCTCTTGTTGTGTCTTATCAGTCTTAATATGATTTGAAAAATTGATCCCTTCTTTGGGGTTTCATTGTCACCTAAATTGATGTATTGTCTTGCATTAAATGCTGCAGAATTAGTCTGCCTTTGTTTTAGCTGCTGTTAAAGTGTGTATGCAATTAAATGTGCTCTGTGTGTGCCTCATGGAGCAAAAACATCAATTACTGATGGTACCGAGTTAAGGCTGCAGTTTGTCCTTTCATCTGTAGGAAACACTGTGCTCCCACGATGATTTCATTATATAAGATGTTTTAATTACTGCCTTAAGGGTATTTTTCAGGCCTTTTTTCCTGTTTTCAATGTTCTGTAGTATGCAGCACCATAACTGTGTACAGTATTTTTAGTATGGAGTGAAAAGTTTAGCAACACAAATCAGTGTTCAGTAATCACATGAAACTGAGGTTTGCACTCAAAGAAGTTATTTAAAGGAGTAAAAAGCCTTGGCTTAGGTTGGTGTTTAGGTTGTGAATGTGAGTGGTTACCCTGTTCCAATGAAAATGAAAGCAGATAAATACAGGAAGTATTTATTAATCCAAACCAATTTGGAGTAATCTCTTTCAAGAAGCAGTGGTCAAAATAATAATGCAGGGACAGTTTTCTAGGCTTTAAACTTGAGTGGAGCACGTATAATTATAGCTTTGTTATATTGCCACAGGTCAGTTATGCGCTTGCAGCATGCACCAGCTAAATGCTGCTTTTGTAAGGTCAGTGTGTCAGTAAACTGGAAGTAGATGGGACATTGCCTGCTTCTTTGAAATTAGGTACCACTATCACGTTCTGCTACTCTGAGCTGATATTACTGAAAACAATTATTTGAGGCTTCTCTGCACGACGGTAATCCAGTGAGAGAAACAGAAGTGGCTGGAAGCTTCTCTCTTTTCTCTCCTAACTTATCACTCTTTGGTTAAGCACTGGAGGAGAAGCCATTAATTTTGTCAGCCATTCTTTATCAAAATGTATTTTCCTCTCAGTGATCTACAAGTGATAGCACCATGAAGGGAACGAGCATATTTAGGTCACATGCGAAGCCCCTGAGGCAGTTCTGTTTGCGTCTAATTTTGGAAGAAAATTTTAGGGTCAGGAAAAAGTGGGTTTAAAGGAGTTGTATTGTAAGAAAGATTGATTTTCCCAAATATACAGAAGGTGTTTTGTGTGGAAATGTTTTCCTTTGCGTTTTCAGTTGCAGTTCTTAAATTAATGCTCTTGGAATAATGAGAGCTCTAAACATACACAGTTAGCACTCTGGTTTTGAGAACTTGAGAAAAGATAATTGCATGAATTCAGGAGCAGTTAAGGTAATTGAGACTTTGTAGTATAGTTGCTTATTTAAAATATGTTAAATACAGTGTAATTTCTAATATATTCTTATTTGTTGACTGCCAGTAGCTGTATGTTCCCTTTTTTTTAATGACCATAAAACATATTTCGGTGACCATTCTTCGATATGGTCTTTTTAAAAGCAGTTACTTTAGTTGTCATTTGTGCTATTGTTAAATGATGATTAGAGAAGTCAGGAACTATGTGTATAGTGCTTATAAATGTAATCTCAAGGTCTTGATTTATTTTCAAAAACTTGAAAGTGAATTGGTCTGGTGGACAAGAACTGCATACTGAAATAAAGCTTTGGCTTTCATAAAGATACAATGACTCTCAAAGACACTTGTTTGAGAGTTCTTGGGCTGTTTTCCAGTGGAATTGCCTAACAAACCCCTGATTTTTCTGGTACTGCTCTTGGTGCATTGAGTAAGGAACAATATATAGAAATATTGGAGATAATAAAGAAAACTTGGATTATTTTTTAATAATTACCCAATTTGGCTCGTTTTGAAGTGTGACCTTGGTGTGGAAAAAGGAATTAGAATTCCAGTTACAGCCCAGCCTGCATTTAGGTTTGTTGTCACTTGTTTGTTGGTCCTTCCTGGTGCCTGTGCCTGTCACTGCCTTGAGCCAGGTGATCCCTGAGCTCCAGGGAATCACCTGGGGAAACCAACCCAAATGAAAATTACATCTCTTGGATTCCTTTTGGGTTAATTTTACTCCTCATCAGCTTCTCCAGACTTAATTTATCCAACTTTTAGCAAATGCTTGTGGTAGGATAGGTGGCAGTTCTGCATCAACGTGATGAGAAGTGAAAGGACGGATTGCTTCTCTTGGAGAGTTGATAATGGTTCTAAGGCAACATGGGAAACTGTGGGATTGGGAACAATGCAGCCTCCTCAGCCTTCTCATGTTCACAGTTGATCCCTGCTTGCTTATAGTTTGCCTTTCACGTGAAAATTCTACTTTCAGTGCACTGAGATTTGTATTTGAGGACATTTCTTCTCACAGATTAGTAGACTATATCTATAATTTTAAGAGGTATTATAAATATGCCTGGAGTTGTCAAGATTCTATGTGTTAGGAATCTCAAAGTCCAGGCCAGAAATTAGAATTGGCTTCTGTTTAATAATGATTTTTTTAAAGAAGCTGAGGCATGTATGCTTGGGCCAGAATAGAAACACAGGAAAACGCTTGCCAAGTTGGGGGGCGGGGGAAGAAAAGGCAGCTGGGCAAAGGAAGATTGTTCTTTAAGGTTCCTGGTGCCTCTGAAGATGCATTAGGCGTTAAAAGGAGCTGAGAGCTGAATGAGTGACCAGAGTGAGGGAGGTAATCAGAAATTTGAGTTTCCAGTCACTTCACAGAGCTGCCTATTTATCTCTGCTGTATTTATCTCAACTTCAGTTGTACTTGTGACCTTCACAGGCCCTCTGCTCCCCGGCAGGCTGCCTGAAATTCAGCTGGAGAGTGGCCCTTCCTCCTGCCCTCCCTCCCTGCCTGTCTGCTGGGCAAGAGGAATTGCTGATTTCATTTATTTTGCTTAGAAGGAGGCACTTCATGCATTGTCGGAGCCACAACATCCTCCTGCATTCTACACACCAAGATTAAAAGCATCCGAATGTTTGGCCTGAGCTTTGCACCTGAAATAAATCCTTTGGTCAAAGAATGTGTTAGAAGAGTCTGAAACAGCAGGGTAGTTTTGAGGAGTTGGTTTTTTTATATCTATAACAGGAATGCACACTAAGTCAGAGTTCTAATTTTGAAAGGCATTGCTGAAGTATGATATTTTTCTGTGATAATATTATTACTAAATTTTAACCTGCAGTGTGTGTTCTGGATTGGCTTCAGGAAAAAGAGAAAATGAAGCTATTGCAGAGCTCTGTCTGTAGCTTTCTCAGTGACAAGAAAGGCATTGCCTGAAGGCCTCTTTTCTCTATGTGCAGAACAATGGCCCAGTATGTTATTTCCAAATATATTGTTATTTGTAAACAGACCAGCAGCTCCTGGCTGCACTGTGCTATGCAGCCTATTGAAATTCTGGCTGTGATTCCAGCTGAGATTTTTCCATAAATAGCTCTGTACTACTTGGGAATACAAACAAACCCTGAAAAGATCTGAAGTAAGGTCTGCTGATGGACTGTTTAGCCTGTTATTAGTGTGTACTTCAGGGTAGATATTACCGTGGATGTGAGGAATTTTTTATAGGGTTATGTAGGGGCTGTCAGCAGGAATTAAAAAGTAAATAATTACCAATCAAATTAGATCCAGGGACTCACAAATCACCTGTCTTGAACACAGGAGGGAAAAGGATAATAAAAATTAGTAACTATGAGCAGAAGCAAGTAAATTTTCTTTCTGTTTTTTTTTTTAATAAAAGCTATTATGTAATAACTAAGCATTAGGTTAGGGTTCAAGTAAATACAACTTGAAATTCAAATTATTTATTCTTTCCATGAACAAACATCAAAATTTTTGCTGATTGGATATTTGTTACGTGAATTAATACCTGCACTAGGAAATGAGCTGTATTTTCCAGTGCTGTGTAGGTAAACACCCACTTGAATAAGTAATATTTTATAGACTATTCAGTTATAATTGGTGTAACCTGTCTTGAGTAATTTGTCATCTTGAGGAGAAACTTGTAAACATTCTGTGAATTAGAAAAGAGTTGAATAAATACTTTTGTGTTTTGTGTGGGTCACAGGGCTGATTCTCTGCTGGTCCTGTTGCTCATAACCTTTTTTCCTAAGAAAGAATAAATCCCCTTTTAAAAGCAATCAACGAACACAAAAATAACTTTGGCATTTGAGAAATCCCTGCTTGGAGTGGGGACTCTGGAGTGTCCTTAACCCCTGGTTATCATAGCAGATGTGTTTATCAGGTGTCAGAGTGAGGATGGGATCCCTGAGCCCAGCCCCACAGGAGATCACTGGGACATTGTCTCAATGCAAATCTCTCAGCTGTACCTGCTGCTCCTCTGGGATGTTAATTAAAAACCTGCAGCTGTGGCCTCGGAGCAGTCTCAGAAGGATCTCGGAGATCTTCACTCTCAGAGCCTTGGCTATGTCTGAAGCCAGCTCTGCTGAAGGAGCACCTGCACTGTGGTGTGGGGTCACACAAGGCTGGAACTGGAAATCAGCTCTGATAGAGGCACTGACTTTGTGCTGGTAACTTGGAGTCACAGAATCCTGGAGCGATTTCCGTTGGAAGGGATCTTAAAGCCCATCCAGTGCTACCCCCTGCCATGGGCAGGGACATCTTCCTCTATCCCAGGCTGTCCAAGCACTGCCCAGCCTGGCCTTGGACATTTCTAGGTCTGGGGCAGCCACAGCTTCCCTGGGAATTCAGTCTCAGCCCCTCACAGGGAGGAATTTCTTCCAAATATCCCATCTTGACCTCCTCTCAGTTTGAACCCGTTCCCTCTTGTTCTGTCTCTCCAGGCCCTTGTGAATAGTCCCTCTCCATCTTTCTTGGTGGGAAGAACAGCTGAACTCCTGACATTTCTTGAAGGCCTAGGTGGTATTTATGAGCTTGTTCACATTTATTTTTTCATGAACATTCTTTTTCATTCTTTGTAGGCACATTGAGAGCAGCTCCCTAAGAAACTGGGGTGTATAAATAAAGCTGTTCTGCACTCCAGCAAGGCCCTTCTGCTACCAAGGGGTAATTAGCCTGGGTTTGCAAAACAGATACATTGCCAACATATTTATCACACAGACAAGAAATAAAGCTTTAAAGCTTCAATAAGACTCAGTCAAATACTTCTGATGCATTTTGAGAAATCCTTATACTCTGTATAACTTGCATTTCAAAGCATGTCTTAGGAGCATTATGGAGCACTTGTGTGAGCATTATGGATAAACCCTGAGGAGCCTTGAGAGAACGAACTGTGACTTAGCTCTGTGCATACAGGTTTTCCAGGGAGTGTTGGCTTGAGATGGAGTTGAGATCTCCTGAATGTTTATAGATTCCTGGGATGCACTTTATCTCCAGGTCAGCAAGGATGTTTTCTGCAGCTCACAAATGTCATAAATAGACATTTAATTATTTGTTTCAGCATGAAGTTTATTCTGAAAAATCAGTAAACATGAATTTTTGTCTTCAGCAGTGCTAAAATTGAGTTGTTACCCTCTTGGAAATAAAGGTGCAGCAAAACTGCATATCTATTAATGATAGGTTGTAAGTTAAAGCTCTGCAGGCAGAAAAGATGTTGGAACAAGTCATGTACCAGAGTGTTAAAACCAGGCAAATGCTGTATTAGAGGAACAATAATCCAGTCTGTTATTTATAAGTTTTTTTTGTCTCAGTTCTCCTTCTATTGCTCAACAAGTCCCAGTTTTGTGAGTGATAGTGACAGAACGTTCAGGCACCTGAGGGAATCTCAGATGAAGCAATTGTGGGCATGAAGTTTGTTCCTGCTGGAGTTAATTTTGTTCCCCTGTAATTAGGTATGTATGATCTGTATGCAGTTGTACAAAGGACAGAAACTATGAGTAACTCCCAAACCAAATTCTACACAATACAAATAGAAAGAAACCATTCTGTCATCTTTGCCTCAGAAATCAGTGTAGGTTTTGTGGCTGAAAGTGTTTATGAAAGAGCTAGAATTGGCATGGATTGTGTGTGGCACTTAGTGCAGCTACTTTGTTTAAAGGGATACAGGAGAATTCCAAGGAAAGGAAGCTTTTTCTTGTGTAATTTAGCCAAATTATGTTGCAGTAATACAGAATGTTTTATCTTTATTCAAAACTGTTGAAGCAGTGTACCCTGACATGGCCAGTCACCCTTCAAACAAACCATAGATTTCATATTTTTGCCTTTTAGCAAATATTTCACTTGGGGATAAAAGAGATTTGCTTTTAGGTAGAGTTATATTGCTGCAGCACCAAAGAACGTGTGTATGCTCATTTTTTTCTGTGCATTTAAGGCAGGTTTTGTTCTGTGACTCTTGTGGGCTGTTAAGAAATTTGTTGGTTCTCAGAATTCTGCGCCACTTGATGGAAGCTTGAGGTTCTGGGCTGCTTTGCTTCAAAACAGGGACACAGTTTCTCCAGGTAAAGTGTAGTTGACGTGGCCTGTGATAGCAGCAGGGCACAA